GTTTTTGAAATTCTTTTACTAAAATATGCGACTCTCTCTCTTCAAAACTTACGCATATAATCAATCCCAGAGGCAGAAATAAAAATAAGATTAAGTAGTATCATTACGTTATACGCGAAAAGACCTATTTAGTTATTCGTATAATAGTCAATGACGCTTTATTAAGTTAAAATCATCGATATAAAAATGGCAAAAAGTATAAATTCATCATAAGTTTAAAAAACAGGGATAAAAACCAATTTTTGTAAGTAAAAGTAAACCGCCAAAAGCCCTGAAAATCTGTTCAAATGTCAAAATTATTACTGTGTTATACTATCAAAGAATATTAATTTGAATCGAAATCAAAAATTAATTAAAAGCAAATGAAAAATGTTGAAAAGAACCGAACGTCGTTGAAGATTTGATTTTAAGAAAGTTGAACTTTTAGATTTTAAAATTTAAATTTAAAAGTAAGGAAAAGAGATTTTTTGATCATTCTTTTTTTCAAAACGTCACTGAAACATTTCTCTACACGATGCAGTTTATGAAAAAAGTTTCAACTTAAAAATAATATCAGGAAAAATATTTTATTAAAAAGGAGCTCTCAAAAAACATGATTTTCTGTAAGTCCTACTTTCCGATTTTTTCAAACTCTTTCAACATCTCCACTAGAAAGACCACGATTTCAAACCTCTAAACCCCAGGTTTCACTAACTTTGGTTTAGTAGTTTTGGAGTTAGGATTGGTGTATAACACGCCTATTGCAACTTTTAAATGACATTCCTTTTATCTAAAAAAGTTACTTTTGTAAACTTGAAACCAAACAAGCAATGATACACCTCCTTTTTTTATTCTTTTACATGTTTATTCAACAGATAACATTTACATTTTTTTAAAGAGTTAGACTGGTTTCAAGAGCTGATCAAGTTTACAAAAGTGATTTTTTAGATAAAACGAATGTCAATTAAAAAGTTGCACTTAAACTGAAATGTGGCACAGACCATGGGCTATCGAACGGTAAAAAACAAGCTTTTCTTTCGGAAAAAAATTGGCGCACAATATTTTTTCTTCCAGATGTAGTCATGTGTATTTGATTCACTGCATGTTCTACAATTTTTTAACAAGACGAAGAGAGAATCGACTGCCGCTTGTCATAGACAGGAAGCGGGTTAATTAATGCAATAACTGTCGAATTGTTTGTGACACGAGTACAGATCTGAATCATTTCGTTTCCCGATAATACGTCGAATACATTTTATAAAGAACAGCAGAGTTATGGACACCGATTTAAGCATTATTTATTGGAGACGTTTCGTGAAACACTTTTCACATCATCAGTCAAAATGTGCAATAAGCAAAACTAATTTAAACTATCTATAGTACATATAAAACAACGTGTGATAGAACGCAAAAAGTAAAATAAATTTATTTTACTTTTTGCCTTCTGTCACACGTTTTTTTTTGTCTACCCAAGCAAGAAAATGGCGCTAGAATCGGGCGGTTGGAGCTAGATAACACGATTTTCGACCCGGTTAAGCTAGCTCCACCTCAAAAAGTTTAACCTAGGATCGTGCGGTTCAACCTTCTCTAGGGCGGTTGGGGAGGTTATCAACTAGGTTAACCGCCCACTTAACCGACCGATCGAACTAGCTCTATCCGATCTAGCTCCAATCGGGCAATTAGCCGACCGGTTCAGCTAGTTCCAGATGTGAAATACATTAGATACAGGGAGGTTGTCAAGTAGGTTAATCTACACATAAACCGGACGGTTGGAGTGTCCGGTTGGTTCGGTTAACCGGGTACTCTAACCTAGCTTAAAAAATAAGAAAAAAGAATATGTGCCTAACGAGAATCGTAAGATGGAGACGTCTTTGCTTTCTATACATGGGTAACGGTTGGTTATGGACGAGACAAAATGAGTAATGCTGATCTCCTTAAGTTAGTTCCAGTTAGTTCGTGATTGGGAAGGACATGAAGAAGATTATTGTTTATTCCGGTGGTGTAAACAAACTAGTTTAGGACATTTCAGCTGAGTTTTGCAACAGACTAATAATTAGGAAATTTTGTAAAAGTGCTTTGTTACAATGAACCTTTGTACTATTCATTCTGTACAGAAAAGAAATTCCACTGTTTTCAATATTACGCACTAGGAAACGTTACTACATTGGGATTCTATTTCTCTTTACACCGAAGAAGTCTGATCTTGATTATGAGACAAAACGGCTGTTTCTGAAAAGAATATTCATTTAGGTTTAGGAATCGAGTATTTAGCAGAGTTTTAAAACCGTAACTCTAAAACTACAAAGACACTTGAACAAACTTATAAATCAATTTTACTACGAATAGAAAGAAAGCAGAAAGTACAACCCTTTTGTAGATTCGAACCTGTCAGAAGGTTATACTTTTCTGCTTTCTCGTATTTTCTCCTTGACGGAAGCATTTTTGAGAGTTAAATCTGCAACATAAAATGTGGCAAATTCAGTGTAAAAAACAGCGTCAGAAACAGTAAATATCATTTTTCACCCTGAATATCGATTTGTACAAAGTTGGGTGTCACAGATGAAATTTGGAAAATTAAATTTACCATATTTCGTCTCCAAACTCAACTTTGAAAAAATTTTCCTTCACGGGGAAACTTGGAAATTAGGCAAAAAGATGATATTCTTGATTTTTCACCATGAAAAAGAAGTTTTCCAAAGTTGAGTTTTAAGACAAAGATATGGCAAATTTAAATTGCTAAATTTTATCTGCTGAGCTCAACTTTGTACAAATCGATCTTCACGGTTGAAAATGATATTTACTGTTTTATACCAGAAAGAACGATTTCTGAGAATCTGGTCCCAACACATAGAATTTAGAAAATTAAATTGACTACATTTTATGTTGCAGATTCAACTCTCAAAAATGCGTTTTTCAAAGGGGAAACACAAATCTCTAAAATATGTTCTGAATGATTTGATCACTCATCAACTACTACATGTGTGCCTGGTAGCTTAGTTGGTTAAAACCCCGCGTATTTCTAATCTCAATTCTGCGTGCGCTGTCAGCGACTTCGATTCTCGTTAGGCACATATTTTTTTTCGTATTTTTTAAGCTAGGTTAGAGCACCCGGTTAACCTGGCGCTCCAGTCGTTCCAACCGGCGCTCCAACCACCCGGTTAACCGAGCACTCCAACCACTCGGTCAACCGGGCATTCGAACCGCTCGGTTAACCTGTTGGCTAACCTAGTTGATCACCTCCCTCTAATCAAATATTTTTCGTCTTTGGATCTAGCTTAACCGGTCGGTTAACTGGGCGGTTAATCTAGATGTCAATCTCCCGCTCCTACTCGAGTATGATAATCTATTGCTCGGTTCACGACTAGGTTGGAGCTAGCTAACTAGGTAAAAAGGTACATTTACCTAGTTCCATCACGTGAATAACCGCGCGGTTATGTTGCCGATGGAGCTAGATTCTCTCCGTAGAGAATTTTTGCTTGGGATACTAGAGATAGTTTAAATTAGTTTTGCTTATTGTACATTTTGACTGATGATGTGAAAAGGTTGAGTAAAGATCTGTTTGAAGTCTACTTATCTAGTACATGTTTTTCCATCAATATTTGATTAATCCTTTATCATTTATAAATACGGTCAAAATGTCATGGATTAAAGCCTGAGAATCGAGGAATATTTTGACTGTTATTATCTATAACTGTAGATGCAATTTCTCCATGACTTGTCCTTATCATCAAACTGCACTTCTGAAAACATGGCTTTTCAAGTTTTTAATCGTATAACTTACCTTTAACGGACAGAAGTATGCAGTTCCTGAACTTTTCGATTCATTCTGATGCTTTCTGAGTGATGTGTTTGTTTTACTATGAGGTGAAATCAGTGTGGAAACATTCATTTTCATAAGACTCAGATTTCACCAAATTTTTTGCATTCTTCTCTAAAAATAAACGCTATCACCAGATTAATAGCTGCACATTAAACGCTCTCACACTGACGCCAAATATGATTAGTTCTATTCTTGACCGAGAGAATTTTGACTTAAGTTTGTAGTCGCTGAATTAAACAATCTTGGAAGTAGAGAAGACGAGACTGTTGCGTGACTAGTAAAGTATTCTTCTGACTTTTCAAGACGTATCCGCCTTCACTTTATTAGAGTGTTGCGGAAATAAAAGATATATTAAAGATAATGAAAATACAAAGTAAAGCAATAAGAATGCAACGAATGGCAGTATAAGACTAAAGCTAAGACCTGAGGTAGTGCATGAAGTTGTCTCAGAAAAATTTAATTTAATCTGATGAACATAATTTTCAATAAAACCTTCTTTCCGGCAAATCCGAGATGGGACATCCGTGGACTGAACCTTCACAAGACATTTATATGTGGATGTGATATCTGAATGATTTTCTGGTAAAAAATTGTCTTTGGTAGTGATTCCCTTCGACTTCGTTTTATATCTCTCCAAGGACGAAAAATGCGCCTAGCATCTTGATGCATCTAGAATCTGTAGATACAGTGGTAAATACATGTAGCTGGATACGAAAAAGCGAAAAGCGTCGAGTAAAGGGCGATGCAAGTAGATGTGGACGATAAAAAGCTAGATGCATCGATTAAAAGACGATATAAGTTTTTGAAGAATAAAAGATAACTGTTCATCTACTGAAAGCAGCTAGCTGAAAATACTAATACATCTATCAAATGAAAATGTAGAGAGTACCGGTCTGAAACGACATTCTGACCCGACCGGATCATTAATTGGAATAGATCGAACGTCAATCACATTCTACACAAATCCGAGCATGACGCTATCATCATATGCGATAGTGATTACTTTGTGATAATTCCATTACTAAAAATAATTCCATCAGATTGTCGGTCGAAAGTGTGGAGTGTTGAGAGCTTTTTTGACGTTACTTCTTTCTTCTAGTTTTACGAGATATTTAGACGCTTGTCTTCTTATGATATCATATTTCCACTATCTATTCTGTATGAAAACTAAACTGAACTGAAGGAAATATTTCGATTAAAAATGTATGCTAGCGGTACTGAATCAAATTTGAATCCAGATATTGAAGTAATTAGCTCGCCAAAGGGTGCTGGTGGTCGAACACGTGACGAGATATGGGCACATTTTGATGATTATGGTGATGCTAAAACAGCTGGGCATAAAAAATGTAAATGCAAATATTGTAATACCACATTTCAATATGCAAACTTACCGATGATGTATCGGCAGGCACATCTCACATGAATGTGAACACATATCAAGTAACAATCCAAATGGTCTAAAAGAAATACTTGTCAAGTTAAACAGTAGTACAACTGATACTAGTAACAGTAAACGTCTGAAAGCCCATCATTTAACATCAACAACAGCATCGACATCGTCTAACTCATTAATAACGACGACACGAAAATGCAGTAAAAAATTGAACATGGATCAATCCGGCACACGTGCTATTTTACCAAGTGAAAAACAATCAATCGATCAAACATTAGTTCGAGCATTTGTTATGAATGGAATGTCATTTATGACTATTGATAATATTTTTTTCAAAGAATTTTTACTTAAATTAAATCCTATGTATACTCCTCCAGATAGAAAGAAAACTATCTTGATTTGTTGACGCAAGAATTAGTTAATGTTGAAACAAGAAATAATGATTTGTTAAATGAATCTGAACATCTTACATTAAACGTTGACGGTTGAACAGATCAAGCTGGACGTTCATTATATGAATTTAACGCAATCACTGAATCTAGAAAATGTATCGTTCTGGCATTAAAAGATCTTAGTCCACACTCTCATACAGCGATATTTCTGCATGATGAATTAGAAAGTGTACTAAAAAAAGTATCAGTAAATTGTGATGTTAATTCAAAAGTTCGAGCCATTGTCACTGATAATCCAAATGTCATGAAGAGCGGATAGTCTACATTCGTTTTTATTGTTACGAATTCCATTATTAACAATCGTAACTGAAAATGATGAGCGGCTACCACAAAAAGTTAAAACAGTTGTTAATGCAAAAAAATTTTTTTATGAAATAGAAAATGTATATGGAATAATGAGAGTGTTAGCATATGGAGTTGGTATCATACAATCAAATTCAGCTACTATGGCAGATTGCTATTTAATTTTAATATATGTTAATCGTTTGACAAACGAGTTTGTATGTAATAGTGACACAAAAGAATTTGGTCGGTTTGTTAGCAAAGTAGTCAATATTCGTCTTAAAGAATTTCAGAATTTTTATTGTACTGCTAGTTTCGTTTTACATCCCAAATGGGGTGCAGGACTATTAACAGATTGTCGTAGTCAGGTATATAAAACAATTGCTGAATATAGTAAAAAAATTGGAAATAATCAAGCAATAACCATTTTGGTTGTTGCTTGATTATTCCCAATTTTATTTTTTTTCCAATTTTTCCAATTTTTCCAAAATGGTTATTGCTTCCTTACAACGTTATGAAATGAAGATTGGACCGTATAGTTTGAATTATTCAAAAGATGATACGCCATCTAGTTGTTGGGCTATGGTTCGTGATCAGACTAATAAAAATTCATTGAAGGATATAGCGATAAGATTATTTTCTATCATACCACATTCTGTAATGTCAGAAAGATTGTTTTCTATTTTGGATTGGCAACATTCGAAACGTAGAAATCGTTTAAATCCATTTCCATTGGAAGCCATAATAAAAGTTCATACCTATCTTGTAATAGCAGTAATTCAGTCATTGATATGGAAAAAATAGAAGAAGCATTATCCGATGAATTGAAGCCTGTTGAAAATGAGAATGACCTGAATGATAACATAAAAAAGTTCAATGATCTTATAAATGAGAACCATCGAATGTTATGTCAGCTAACTAACTCAGAATTAATTAGTGAAAACAATATTGAGGATAAAGACTTATTGAATATATCATCTTTAGTGAATTCTGAAGATAGGGATATAACAAATATATTCGTTGAACTTGGTTTATTAGACGAAGATGTACAAGAACAAAATGATTGTCAAACAGCAAGCAGTCAAGATAGAAATGATGATGAGGAGGATTATGATATAGATGAATTGATCAAAGCAGCAATCGCTACTTAAATTAAATAAAAAGTATTTATTTATGAACTACAATTATGTGTTTTGTTCTGTTTAATAATAAGAAATTTCTTGAATTCTGATCAACTCGTAGTTAGTACATCGACATTCGGCAATAGCACAATACAAACTGAAATGAACTTACAGAATTTTAACTCGAGTTTGCAGTTATAAATGAAATTGAAATAGTTATAATTCTCAACCCGAGTTACAACCTTCAACCCGAGTTATAACCGGATCAACTTTTTTAGAAATTTTCTTCTATTTTAACATTTGAAAAATAGTTTTAAACCCATCAGTGGAATATACAGTGAAGGAATAACGCAGTCAGGCTAATAGCAACTGTGAACAGCAAAATCATGAGTAGTGCAATGCAAATTGATCGCCATCGTGGTTTTTTCTGCTATTCGATTTCTGTTGTTGTTGTATCTTACTGACTATTTCAATAGAATAAATAATGCTCTGGTCATCGTAATTCTGGAGTGGTCTTCGACTGACGATGATGCTCAAGCAGTCGTCTGCGCAGTCACCATCATATTCTTGTCCGAATTTTGACTCGACATTTTTGACGAAAACAAACAACTTTTAACAAATAAACTTTGATAAAAGAAGCAGGAAAAATCTTGTGTTCTGTATTGAATGACTCAACCGAGATATAGCGAAAATAATGCTTTAAGTCCCATGCCATTACTTCTATTAACATATTTTTCAGAGATGGGCGATACTCGCGTACAAATTTTTAGATACTCGTACTCAAGACCTTTTTTAATGCCACTCGAGAAAATGGTCGAGTAAAAACCGGTTTAATTAAAAAAAAAAGAAATTCGAAGAGACTGATCGATGTACTATCATCACATGATAAGTTTTCCGACGACAGTCCTGTTTTCTTTAAAAAAATTTGCGTTCAAGTACATACTCGAGTAAAACTATTTAGTACTTGTACCCAAAAAAGTGTGTATTCGTCCTCCTCTGATATTTTTATGGATTATATGGCAGTTTCGTTAAAAATGACATTTTGAGTTTGAAATGACAAAACTTATTATTTTGTAGACAGCTCAACATGCTCTACAATCTGACGGATCAAAAAAAATTACTTAGTGACGGAAGATTTTCGGCCTGAAATCGCGGTTTTCTAGAAAATCTGATCTCAAATGGCCTAGCAACCTCTCCGATGTCTATGTGCGGAATCAGCACTATCGAAAACTTACAGCCTAATGGTTTTTATTAAAAAATCGAATGAACAGTTAAGGAACTTCCCTCATCGATTTGGCGGAATGACACAGAAAACTTTTGCGTAGAAAATTGCTGCTCTGGAGTAATTGCACGAAAATCATGATAGGTCGTGCTCGATCGATCTCTCAGATTTTTTCCTAATCAATCTCATTTTGTTGACCGTATAGGAAAACCTAACAATCCAAGTTATGAATGGTTTTCTAGAGACTACTTGACGAATATTTTAGGACCAACTTTTTGAACTTTAAAACTAACTTTCTATATTCAAAAGTGTGTCAGAAAAGTGAATCTGGCTATAAAAGTCGCTTGAAACTAACTTTTTCGACCCCCACGCCCCCCTAAAAAGTCATCAGATTATTTGTAAGGGAATTCGAACAAGATACATTTCATTTTCCTCTACTATTGTTTGTGTTTTAAAATATAACTATGTACTACATAGATCCGACACCACTTTTTTTTTTCTTTTCTTATGGCAAGTTTCAGTTAATAATAGAAAAGTGCACAAACATCATTTGCTGTCAATTCTCTACTATAAATTCGTAATTCATCCACACCACCTGAATAAGAATTTAATCCTAATACACCTGTTGATGTACAAGATGTAGGATTGGATATTACCTGTGCGGTACCACCAGCTGACATATACATTGACGAGCCACTAGCGCTATACTGTGTAATACCCGATGTTGTGTTATATAAACTGCCGCTAACGTAAAGTTTTAAACCATTTGTAACACTAAATGTTTGTACTACATGTGTCCATGTATTCCGCGTCAGCAAAGGTCCAAGTGTATACTGTGCTGTTGAACCGTCCCATACTTGAGTAGCTACTAGATTTGATGATGTAAAGCCAATAAAGGGTAAGCACCAGCCATCTCCTGCTGCATTCCGTGATACATGAACAAATGAACCAGATAAATTAGTTGGTTTTATCCATAAAGCAATTGAAAATGGTAAATTTACTGTACCAAGTGATGTCAAACCACTGACTTGAAAATATGACGTTGTCGTTCCAATGAAAGAAAATCCTTGATTACGTTCGCCAGTAATTTGAGTTTGTCCAGTGATAGTACTGGTCAATGAATTTGGACCACTATCCAGAATTGAGCCGTTATCAAATGGAAAGTATGCTACTAAATTTGTTAGATTCAAAATTAAACTACACGGAGGAGAAGTTGTTGTAGATGTTGCAGATGTTGCAGATGTGTTAGATGTTGTAGATGCTAAGAAAAACAAAACAAAATGTACAGCGCTACCATAATCAGAAGGCGGGCCAGTTTAGCCGTTGTTACAGGAGGCTCAATAGTTTCTATCAGTTGAAGAAATAATCATAGAGAAACATAAGATTTTCTCAGCTCGCGCAATCTTTAATTATTAGACCGGAGCTTAGCAAGGTAAAGGAAAATTCAAAAATACTTTTATTTCAGTTTTGCAACCATACTTCTATCGGAAGCTGTAACTTAGATTCTCGTGATCCGCTAGTTTTATAAAATATCGCATCTAAACAACATTTGTCAGCGTTTATGGTATCTAACCGTCTTCGAACCGCAAGCTTTCGTTCTTGATTAATGGAAACATTCTTGTCGAAAGCTTTCGCAGTTGTTCATCCTTTAGTAAGCCAAGAATCTCCTCTGTCTCTCACACTACAGTACGTATGGCTCCTCTCTGAGTTTTATTAATCATGTAACCAATTTTGTAAAACGAACAACATAAAATCAAGATCTTATTATACTATTTCCATGAAATTTTATCCCGATGATGATGCCTATTTTTAGAACTCTAATTTTTCCAAAGTGAACGGTCGGTTTGTATACTGATTTTCATTCAATATTAGACTTTTTAACTTTCTCAGTATGATAATTTAAAAAGTCGTATCTAGGTGTAAAGATCGTGATGCCGTGCATCTTACTCGTAGATCTTGCTTTCAATACAAGCGGTACTGCCACTGCTATAATTACTACTGCTATTCCCAATACACAAACAGTAACAACAGTGAGAATTTTAAATAATTTGGATTGAAGAAATCCATCTCGATATCTAAATAAATATTCATAGAGAAGAACTGTGAGATGTTACACAAAAGAGTTATATCTTCAACTTACACAGACTGAATTTCTTGTAGATCATTTATGTTACCGTTAATGCCCGTTGTGGCTTTCGGCTCTAGTGTTATTGATTTTATACAGGAGACTGGAACTTGTTCACCCTGTGATGATGAAATGTGAAAAAATTCAAGTTTATAATGAAACTGTTAACTGACTTACATCAGGTCCACTAACTGTTCGCTGTGGAAAATAGGGCACAGTACTCGTCGGCATAACATTTGAAACGAAGAGTAATAGAAAAACTGTGCAACGTTAGTAAAATTGTTTTATTGTCGCTTCTGCTGCTGTTTTTATAATTGTTATTTTCAACGCATCCTTACATAAAAAAACAAGTGTTATTCTTTTGTTACTATTATTAAAAACAACAAAACGCTCGCAGCTATACTTATTTTAAAAGTTTCTTCTGTCCTGTCATGTATTTTGTCATATATTGTGATCATATTACTAATTATCGCATAAAAATGTATGATGATTTTTTTTGTAACTTGAGAAGAAGTACAGATACGTATATCCTTGCTCAATGGTATAATTCGTTCACTATCACTGTACGTGTATTCTGACGAATTAAAATCAAATTTGTGGGATAAAAAAAGAATTCTAAGGAAAGGTTCTGGTGGTCAGTGTATTATTTTTTTATTCTCAGCTAGCAACATTTGATAGATTTGCCGATCTATCAAAGATGCGTTAGTACGAATAACTACTCGTACTCGAGTACACTCGAGTACAACTTTTTGCATACTCATACTCGTACTCGCGACAATTTTTAAGGAATATTCGAAAAACTACTTGAGGACTCGATCGAAAGCCTTTATAATCTACTATGGATTGCCGAGAAAAACAGTAGGTTCTATTCCAGAATTGCAGTGTAATCCAATAAGAAAAATGCATGATGTAATCAATATGAAAGTAATGAGACTGTCGGACAGAGTAAACCAACTATATGTCCTTACAAGAGAAAAAACAAAATTAATTTTTATTTCATATATATTTCATTTCATACACCTTTTCTCTTTATAAAAAACTTGTACTCGAGTACATACTCGAGCAAAATTTTCGTGTACTCGTACTCATACTCGTACTTGCCACGAAATACGCGTACTCGTACTAGAAAAAGTGTGTACTTGTCCACCTCTGCGATCTATCACTGGTGGGGATGTATTATCTTTCTTATATCTCTATTTTGCATCCTTTTCTACGTGAAAATTCTTAATTTTCTGTCATAGTGCACGAAGAAAAATCCGCGTAAAACATGATGTAATCGACGGTCACTTAGCCACAGTTATTGAATATAGTAAAAAAGTTGTTATTTTTAGGTCTTAAAATATTTTTGTGCCTGTTCAGGGCTTGGCAACTCCGCTGACTTTCAACTCCAACTCCACTCCAACTCAAATCCGTTTTCAAATTTCCATCTCAAACTCCAACTGTCACAACAAAAATCTCAACTCCAGTTCAGCTCCGGTTGTTTCACTTTTATAAGGAGATTTTTCGGTTTTTAGCCGAAAATTTTTTCTGGACGTTTTGAGCTTTTTCCGGCAGGAAAGCGCAAAGAACTTCCGAATTCACTCGTGAATACAGCCACTCAATCGTTTAGAAGATCAATTTACAACTACTGAATATTTCCAAAAATGCAAAACGGAGTTGAGAATAAAAATTCAAAAACCCAACTCAACCTATTAAAATCTCAACCCCAGCTCCACCAAAAAAATCCTCAACTCCAGAGTTGGAGCTGCCCAGCCCCGTGCCTGATACTGCCTGTTTCTACGTGAGTTTGGTGCCTTAAAGTTATTTTTCTGATCAAAATCCATTTTTGAAATGATATGAGGTTAAGAAAGTGTACGAAGGCAAGGTGCGAAAACTGATTTATCGCGTGCATTTTCGTATGATTTTTCAAATTGAAATTAACGTTTCAAAGTTCTTAGTTTATTCAAAAATTAAATTTTAAAACCAAAGTAAAATGAGGATATCTCTGAAAGTATATATTTCCGGTGACTAAAAGTGTGAGATTTAGATTGAGCATAAAATTCTATATAATATAATTGATTAATGAGGTTCGGGGAGTTCTAGTTGAAAAAGTCAAAGAGTATATTATTTCGGATTAGAAAATTTGTAAAAGTATTTTATAACAGTATAAATAAAAAGAGAATGCTTTCAGCAACGACATGTATGATCTACTAGTTGAAGGCATTTACTCGTAGGACGAGTAGTAATCGGTAGAGTCC